CTACTGTTACTACTACTAAGTTTGTGGCCTAGTGGTTAGGCTTTCAGACTCTCAGTCGAAAGGTCGTGTGTTCAAATCCTGTCATGGGTCCAACGTTGTGTCCTTGTTAAAGGAACTTTACACGAATTTTCCTCTCTTCACCCAGGTGGGAATGAGTACCCAGCTATAGGCAGTGAAAGGTCTTGTCAGTTTGTTATTGTTTGAGCGCGTGTAATGCGCTGATTGTACTGTATACAATATGCAATTATCTTTATCATTTTACTTTTTATTGTGGGCAATGAAAATAATGTGAGAAGCACGACTAAATAATTGGTCAAGAAGTGTTCAGATGTACTATGCCCAACATTTTGAATTTTAAAAATTGCTGTTTACCTTCTGTCGTGTTGACCTTGACCTTCTCTAGTATGTGTTGCATGTTCTCAAGAAATATGTTGTTAAAATTCAAATTTAAAAAAACGTTGAAAAAGCATGAAAAGTTACATAATGAATTAAGTAGGACTGTTAAAGAAATTAAACAATGTTTACTCTCTCCTGAAAAAAAACAACCTTACTTCCTGGGCTTGGGACATTTGAAAAATTTTCCGACGAATTGTGCTGTGTTGGTGCGGTAGGTTTCTCTTAGTTTCTTTGTCTAAAACTCACCGACATAATACTGTAGACATTTTTCAAGTACAGTATATTATTCGGTTTTTACAATTTTACAGAAGAGACGAACACTGTAGGTTTTAACCTAGAAAACATTCACCAGAAAAAGTGATGAGGAAGCAATTATCAAAACTGTATTCTTCAAAAGGATAATATATTGACGTGGGATGTTTTCAGAGAGTTTGTTTTCAGTTTTTTCGTATCTCCTGTAAAATTATAAAAACTGCATAAACTATATTTTTTTAAACGACGACAAAACAGAAATGGCAAATACATTGTTTTTTGTGCGGTACTAATTTAAGTACAAGGGAAAACGTAACAAATTGTAGGTGCTGTTACGCCTTCATTGACACAATTAGGTCATTGAAGAGGCAGGCTTCTGACTCTGCATATCAGGGCCAGCCCGGGCTGAGAGGAATACAACATCCCAGCAGAAAGAAATACCGAAATACTCAATAAAACTTTCTCTTTACTGGTGAGTCGGCCTCGAGTGTCCTGTGTGCAACAGCGAAGTGCCTAACTACTACACCACAGACGCCATGGGGAGAAGAGTGAGAGACAGACGGAAGCAACAGGGGGGAAAGAACGAGAGACAGACGACGGAAACAACAGAGGGAAAAGAATGAGAGACAGACGGAAGCAACAGTGGGGAAAGAACGAGAGACAGACGACGGAAACAACAGAGGGAAAAGAATGAGAGACAGACGGAAACAACAGGAGGAAAAGAATGAAAGACAGACGACGGAAACAACAGAGAGAAAAGAATGAGAAACAGACGGAAGCAACAGAGGGAAAAGAATGAGAGACAGACGGAAACAACAGAGAGAAAAGAATGAGAGACGGACAGAAACAACAGAGACAAAAGAATGAGAGACGGACGGAAACAACAGAGAGAAAGATAAGAAGTAGATCTCTCCAGTAGTGGTGCCCTTTGGTCCCACACTTGTTTCTTTAGATTGCAGAATCATTATCTGGGACAATATTGCTTGATATGCCAGTGGTTGAAAATCTATGCACAGGCCAGAAACTAGGACCACACGTCTGAGCTGAGACGTGCTGACAAAAGAAGTTAATTCTCGGATATTTGCCCTATGGGCAAAGATACATACGACGAATTTATGGGTTGGGTTTGTACAATAATTTATTATATAAAATGACAGGAACAAAAATTTTAAGGATTCTCGGCCGCTGCAGTTCAATGCCCTTTGTCTTTTTCTTCCTATTTTTTTTTTGGGGGGGGGGGTTGTTTTTTTGTTTGTTTGTTGTTGTTATTGTTGTTGTTGTGTTTTTTGTCTGTCTTGCTTTTTCAAAAAGTGTATAACCAGCATAATTTGAACTGTTTCTTTTAATGTTGATTTTAAAAAAAAATTTAAGTACGGATTTTACGGCACTTGGAACCGCACAAAGTCAAAGAGTGCGCTTAAGTTCTTTTTTAAAATGCACTCACTCTCAACAATAAAACATTGCGCTACATTCTTGAATGAATGGCCTTTGTTGTGTAGTTGTTAAGCGCTTCGCTGATGCACACATGAGACAAGGGGTTCGATTCCCGAGTGGGGAGAAATTTTTCGAGTATCTCGGTCTTTCTCCAGAGATGCCGTGTCCCTCTCAGCCAGGCTGGCCCTGAGGGGCAGGGTGGGAAGCCCACCTTCCAAACGAGCTAACTTGTGTCGATGAGGACGTAAAAAGATCTCAAATCAATTTTCACAATTTTTTTTCTTGCTGTTGAAAGATTCTCACAAGCACAACCTATGCGCTCACAATCACAGCCGCACAGACAACAGAAATTTAATACGCACAAAAATACAGCGGATGGTTGGCGGGTGCTCTGGTGTGGTGTGCTTCTTCTTTCCTATCAAACATCTATCATCCTGATCTCTCCTCCTTTTTTTCTGTGTTTGTTACTCTCTTGTAGCTTCTCTAATCTTCAACACTTGTATGACCTTGTTGTGTTGCAAGTGCCGTAAAAAGCTTACTTAAACAAACAAATAAACAGACGCTGAGGTGGAGTCCTCGTATGGTTAGGCTCTTCACCTCTACATGCAAAAGACTTGAGTTCGAATCCTTTGTAGGAAAGCTTTTACTTATATTCTATTATCTCGGTATGAGTGCTAGCATGTTATACACCACTCAGCCGCAGTTTGTTCTGATAAACAGTGTGGAAGCAACCAGGCTTCTTTATGATCCAAGTTGTTTTTTCCCCCAAG